GTATAATGCTCTGATGCGGAAGATACCGGACATCCTGTATATCCAGGAAATTTATTCTTGAAAATAAATACCCGGGTACAAGGTCCGTTGAGTATTGGTTATAACTTATAAGCTTATCCAACTCGAACAAATTGACGTTGACAGGGTGAGGTAGGAAACATGACGTCATTGCAGGAAAAGTATAATATAATACAGGTGTCCCCTTAAGGCTCCTTAACCGCTTGATGAGAATATGTTTGACGACAGAGAAACGAAAGTTCAAAAAAGGATAGCATGTACTGGCAAGACATTCCCACTGTTTTCCTATTGGGTAATATGCATTTTATCAATGAAGGAATGAATAAATAGATTTATGAATAATGTATTTACAACCTGAAACAATTAAGAACTGTGGGTACCTAAAATTTATTAAACTAAATTTATATTGAATAAAAATAATAAATTAAATATCGGTGAAACCCAAAATTAGTAAATAGTTGCTTGCAATCGGGGAGCTTTTTGACCTATACTTTAAAATTAGTACAGACAGTAATGTGAAGGGTTGCCGTTTGTTACCGCAAAGAAGTGCTGCATGTACATTGATGTCAAACACCAAGCATATTTAATTATTGCAATATCATTGCAGAGTACACACAAGTTATTGCAGTTTTTGAAACAGAAGTAAACCAGAAGAAAATAGAAGAAAAACCCCTAGTGACATAATTTCTCAACAATCGTAAAAATAATTCGTAAAATAATCGAACATATCTCTAAAATCGGAAAGGGTGATTTCTACCCTTAAAACGGCGATCGGGCAGAAATGACAATACACGTGTCGAATATTTTTCCATACCCTACTTGTATGTCAAGTTTCAAGAAAATCGCCGTATGGCACTTCCCTAGTGTTACTTGAAAGTATACAGGGTGATTCTCAACCTATACACATAAACTCGAGGATTTATTCATTATTAGTAAAAGTTTTTTAGTTTCTCTAAATCTAAATAATGTGTTTCCTGGAAAATGAATAGGTCGAGATGGTCCAATGACCTGGCTACCGTGATCGCCCAGCCTCAACCCTCTTGATTTTTACTTGTCGGGTCACTTAAAAAGCAAAGTGTACGTAACGGAAGTTAATACTGAGCCAATATTGCAAAATCATTTACATGCTGCTGCCCAGACAATTCGCCAACACCCTGGTTTAGACCGCGCTAATGGGAGATCGTGGATTCCGGGAGGCCAATTGATAGAAAATATGGGAAATCACTTCGAACACTTGCTGTGATGTTATTTTAAAATGTTCTATGTATTCTTGATAGTTAATATCACGGATATCTATGAAACAAAAAATCTTTTACTACAAATTTTTTTGCCTATTAGTCATTATTCGTCGTGAGTAGTAAATCTCCAAGTTTATGCGTATAGGTTGAGAATCACCCTGTATTTATATAAAATAATAATAATATAAAAATACACTTTTGGTTCGTATTTACGCGCAAATCGATAATCAGAACATTCTATAGCACGATATCAGAAAAAGTAAGCTTCCTCCCCTTTCATAGTATGCAGTCGGTAGACAAGAACTATGTCTACAAACTTGTTTTTTATCTATGTCTGCGGTTTTTTTACGTTACAAACCACTCGCCAGAGATTCACATAGCTAGCCCACATGTTTTTTTTCATTAACCAATCATCGCTCGTGAGACCCGGGAAGTAAAATATATTCCAAAATATTAAAATTTAATGTAAAACCGTAAATTACTAATTACGGGTTTATTATTAATATTTCGTAAAAGTGCTACAGGCATAATGTTTCTATTTTATTGTTTTACATCCGGGCCAAGAAGAAAAATCGTAAAAATCTTACTATTTTCAAAAATAAATCAATATTTTTCTTCAAATTTCATTTTCTGTTCTTGTCCCGGGTTCATAACTATTGTAGAAACATGACAAATGATAAATTAATCCAATCCATTAATAAATAAGGAAGTAATTCGAAATCTACGGTGACAGACTAGGTTAAGGAGCCTTAAGGGTACGGAGCGGCTGTATCTCGACAACGGTAAGGCCTATAAGTTTGGGAAAAAAAATCCTTATAAGCAAAGTGGACAAGAGAAATACGTGGAAATTATTTTGAAGTTCGTAATTCGATTGCTAGGGGGCGTAACTGCCATAGAGAAACATAAAATTCCCGTTATCTCAGAAAGTTAGACGATGAGCTATAACTTTGACAACATCATTATACAGGTGCCCATTATGTATGGAACCGTACATACACCGGAAACTTTCTAGTTCTAGGTTTAGTGTTAGTTCTATAGTTCATTTTTTTTCTATAATACCTGTCAAATTGTTGTAAAGTTGGCAAAATTAACAGGGAGTTTTGTTTTATCATGTTTTGAAGTAAATATGTCACATTGACGTTTGAGCTTTCGTTATTCAAAAAGAAAAGGTGCATAAAAAGTGTTGTGGGGTGTTTATTTGCCATTTACTTACCTAGAAAAGGTATTTTATTCTATTTAATTACTTTGTAGCACGTTTTTATAACAAATATGTACTTCGTCAAAATCGTATTTATCTAAAAATTTGTTAGTATTTTAACCTCAACTAATTAGTTACTGACAATGTTACTAAAAATCATGAAAACAACATAAATTTTATAAGGGTCCTAGATAATATCAACAGAAACCCTAAATAATTTACAATGACAAGTATTATAGAAAAACAACGAACTATAGTTTTAATTGTTACTAAACGTTAAATTGTTGTCTATTTTTACTGAAATAAAACTAACATTAGATCTAGAACTAGAATTTTTCTAGTTCTAGGTCTAGTGTTTGTTCTCGTTTTAGTGCAATAAAAATATACAACATTGTGATATCTAGCAACATCATGTTTGGACTTCTTTTAATGGTTTTTTTTTTAATAAAGAATACATCATAAAAGAACGTCATGAAGTTGTCCATTTGTCTATTATATGATAACTAACTTCAGATTTAAAATTTCAACCTCAATTTTGACATATTTGTAATCTTCATTAAAAATACTTTAAAATGAGTACAAGCACGACATATCTATCTTCAATATTAATGAAGTTATGGTCAACTTTCGGTTACAAATGTCAACGTCAATTTTGACATATTTGTAATCGTCGTGAAAAATCCTTTAAAATGAGCCCAAACATGATACGTTTAATTCCAATATTACTCGAGATTTAAGCAACTTCCGATTTGAAATGTCAATGTCATTTTGACATATTCTTAATTTTTATAAAATATGTTAATATTTGTCATAAAAACAAAAATATAATAAAAAAAAATGAAAAATTAAGGTTGGTATTAATATTTAAAAATTAAATTGCTATCTTTATTATTGCTAACTTAGGGTTTAATGTTTTTTATTCAAACTTTTTTGTTTTTTGAGGTAAGTGCGTCATTTTTGGACTCTTTTAAAGGTTTTTTTAATGAAGAATATGTCAAAATTGACGTTGACGTTTCAAACCGGAAGTGATTGTATTTCCATTAATATTAATGTTAAATATGTCGAGTTTGGACTCATTTTAGAGAATTTTTTATGAAGTTGACAAATATGTCAAAATTAGAAGTTGAAAGTTCGAACTTTTTGGTTTTTTGAGATAAATGCGTCAAGTTTGGACTCACTTTAAAGGTTATTTTATGAAAATTACGAATGTAATAATAAAATTAAAGTTGACATTGACAACTGAAAGTTTGCTTCACGACTAAACCCGACTGTTTTTAGTTCTCGTTCTAGTTTTAGTTCAATAAAAATATACAACATATAGTAATATCTTATGCTAACTAACACTAACTACAACTGCCACTAGAACTAACACTAGACCGAGACCTAGAAACATTCGGATTTAGTCCCACGTCTCTCAAAACGGCTAAACCCGAATGATTCTAGTTCTAGGTCTTGTGTTAGTTCTAGTGATAGTGCTAGTGTAAAACACTAGACCTAGAACTAGAAACATTCGAATTGTTATTTAACCCTAAATTCTTGTACATTTTAATTGATCAAAAAAAATTTTTTTTGATTTAATCCACTTACCTTGCTTATAATTTCATCCAGTTACCCATTTTGAATTAAATACCACCTTTAAATCCAATTAATTATGTGTTTTTCACTAAAAAAACTTAAATTTAACGTCAACTTTGACAAGCAACTACAATATTTGGATCTTAATCACCATGGTAACCGAGTCAAGTTGGATAACCTAACAATAATAAAATTATATCCGTTAATATTTTGCTTTATATTTTAATTTTATTTTATTTTTACATTTTTGTATATTGCTTCTTAAATGAAATACCCGTATAAATAAAAACATAGAAATGTCAGTTCTTCCAATGACGTCTAGTATTTAACAACAGTGCTGTTATGTATTTGAGCCATAATGGCGGTTTGACAGCTTGTCAGTGCATGTCACCACTTATTTACAAAAAGTCACGTGTAATAATGCCGTCTTGTTGCAAAAATAGCAGTAAGAAGAGCTTTCGACTCTTACTCTTTTCTAAACCCGATTCTAATGTTAGTTCTAATACTAGTGTTAGTTCTTATAAGTTGATACTTATTGATCTTTTGAATGACCTTATAATACACAGTAAGCTGAATATCAATTATACTCTAAAACTTCATTTCTTGTAGACTTATATAATTTAAAGCATACATAATATATGTATTTGAATTAGAGATTAACTTTTTTGACATAAACGTCACTTTTAGTTGGGAGTTTTCTTTAGAAATGGTTTATAACTACACTAAATAATTATTATTTAGTTTTTTTCTTTAAAATAATATTATAATTTTATTACGTTACTAATCAATAAGATTTTTAGACTTTTTTTAGAATAATTTTTGCATTAATTTCTAAAAAGAAATTCGATAAATCATCAGCGACATCTATCATTAAATGTCGAAATTATTACCTCATCAATACCTTCAAAATAATACATTTTATTTAAAGATTCACGTCTTTTTGTTATCAATAATATTAAATAAATAAACCATTAAAAATAAAATTCATTTATTAACTTTCTGCAACCATACTTATTCGTTGACGTGTTAAAATACCCACATCGATGATTGCTTCCGGTACCAATAAATCAACGACATTATACTTTAACGATTCTTCATAAGCATACAAAACGCTTGTATCATAAAGCATCATTTTACATTGAGCCAAAGCTAAAATACAATTTCTTATCCTAGCAATTGTCTCCCTTTCAGTTCTCGAAACAACCTCCTCCAAATTTTGAGTGAATCCCCCCACACCTGCCTCTTCTGTATTTACAATAGGACTAATCCAAACAAATCCATTATTCCCAAAAATAATACTAGCCCCAATCGGGAGGTTATGAAATCTTGTTTTACTTCTTTTAATTAATGTTGGAGAAACTTTCACTAAAATACCTTGAGATAATTTTCCATACTTCAAACTTCTTGTGTGTAAAGATAAACTTCCATCAGAAAAAACATTTTGTACTTCTGCACTAATTAAATCACCTTCTTGAAGGTATTTCCGCATCATGTGTTCATCTTCAGCAGATCTTCGTCTTAATTCACCACCGGGGAGGTTAACTGACGATAAAAGTAACATAGAATCTAATCTGGAGTTTGTATCAACTTTCCAACGTTTTTGTTGAACCTCTGTTATTCTCCCAACAACAACATCTCCAATCACACCGTTATAACGACTTTGTAAGGGGCGGATTGAAATTAATTTATTTACTTCTTCTTTTACCCCAGCTACAGACGCTTTTAAATAACCATCATCTTCATATGTACCATGTCCTCTAAAAAAAATAATTAAAATAATAAAGAAAATATTTTTGAGGTTAGAATTTTGTACCGCATAAATTCGTTTTGTTGAGTTATTATTTGACCGGGAGTAAATATTTTTGGAGTTCTTCCACCTGGAACAACCGTAAAATTCACTCTTTCAGTAGCTAAACGAATATGAATTTTTTCAGACATTTCACGTGTTTTATGAGGTTATGTCTTTTGAAGTTTATTGACGTATATGTCAATAATTATTTGGAGGTTATGTTTATATTTACTAAATGAGATTAATTTTAAGCCTTTTATGACTGTTTTTATCAATAAATTTATTTTAATAATAATTTTAAGTTTTCTTTTCAATTTCACTTACGTAATATGTAAATTAAATTAATTTTTTAATAATTATAAGACGAAGGTTACACGTCAAATATTAATTTTAGGTTAGAGTTTTTAGTTTAATCTGCCAAATAAGAGGAAAATTCTAAAGATATCCAATTATTATTAAAAAAATGGAAGGACATAAACCTGTAGTAATAGATAACGTAAGATTATAACGTAAATTGTGTTTATAAGGCTTATTAATTTAATATCTGTAGGGATCAGGAATCATTAAAGCTGGTTTTGCTTCTGATTCATCTCCCAAAACTGTTATACTAAACAGGTAAAACTATAAAGTTTAAAATAAATGGATTTTGAGAATTATTTTATAGTGTTGGTCGACTAAAAATTGGTGACCCTAAGAAAGATATAGTAATTGGACCTAATAATGAGTTAAATAAATTATCCATAACTTATCCCATGGGGCATGGGGTGATTGAAAATTGGGATGATATGGAAAAAGTTTGGAACTATATCTATGATAAAAACCAACTTTCTGCGTTCCCGGAAGAACATGCTCTTTTATTAACTGAGACTGCTTTTAATCCAAGAAGTAATCGTGACAAAATCTTGGAGATTTTTTATGAAAAATATAAAGTGCCTGCTTTAACTATTTCTTTACAAGGTATTTTAAGCTTGTAAGTACTATTTTTATTGATTAATACTATAATTTATCATTGATTCAATTTAAATTTAAAAAATGGTATTTTTTGGATTATACAAAATCATATAAAGATAGGAAATGTGGATATTCTTGGGAATTGAGCTGTGCTTTTAACCAAGCTTTTAGAATAAACTTTATTCCTTCTTTAGGGTAAAACTATTCAATCAAAACAAACAAGGCCAAGACTTACAATTTAAATAAAAATATCAACTATAGGTACTTACAAATGGAAGCATAAAAAGCACACTTTTAACACTTTAATTACTTAAACAAATTTTCTACTAAACAAGTACAGTGTTCCTGTAAGTCATGGTATAATTTTAAGTGTAAATTTTTTTAAATAAATAGCTAAGATGTGGGCTTTCAAACTTAAGAAATTTTAAACATTTTCTTAAATATTCAATATGATTTGTCTTAGAAAGATAAAATTTGGTAAACAGTCCAATTTTACCATGAAAAATCGTTTAAGATCACTTTTGAAAAGTGATTCACAAAGGTTATATCCTTAAAACTTTTTATTTTGTCCCAAAATATATATTATTAAGTATTTAGTATTATGAAATGTACAGGTGTCCCAAAATTGAGATACCATATGTTGACATTTTAAAATAGGAACCCCCATTTTTTTGTTGCATTTATGGATTCTACGTAACTTCTGAGTACTTTTTATATAGCTGTCTTTGAAAAAATAGCAGTTAAAAAATACTGTTACTATTTTATTTGCAATAATAGAGTAAACTACGATATTCTCTGTTTCTGTGTTAATTTGTGACAAATGTTTAATAATGCAATGATAACTATAAATTATGTTTGAACCAATATAAGTAAATTTAGTATTTTAAAATATTTTTTTTACATCTTTTTATTTTTCTTCGTCCTTACTGTGTTTTACAATTTCAATATTAGTTACAATTGACGATAAAAAATTATTTCTTTCATCATTATTTTCAAAACAGAGAAGGCTTATAAGTTCTTCAGAAAAATCTGTATTATTCCTTGATTTCTTGCTATGAAATGATGTTATAATTGGGTCTGAAGATATTAATAGTCTGATTAAAATGTCTCTCTTATTGTGTATTTTTGACATTTTTCTCCAAAAGTTCTCTCTATACCTTCTAAGGTCTTTATTCCGAGTTTCTTGCGCATCTTCTGAAAGCAGGCACCTGGATACTTAATGATTTTATTATTAAGTGGCCATGCACAAGAATTTTATGCACTGCCACAGGTATATTGTTGTCTCATCTTTTTCCTTTTCTCTTCTATTAACTTTTTTCTCCTTTCTTTCTTCTTTTTACAAGTGGTAAGCAGTTGATGAAGTTTGGTCATTTGAATGTTAGGTCACTTCCTGCTCATTTTCCTGCTGTAAGAGACCTGATTCTTCAGGGTGATTTTGATGTTTTTGCAATATCAGAGTCTTGGATATATTCGGATACTGATATCACTCCTTATTCTATAGTGGGTTATCACAGTTGTTTTGTTGGACGTTCTAGAGTGACGCCCTGTGGAAATCTTGGTGGAGGCGGTGGTGTTGGGTTCTTTATTAGACATAATTTGACTTACGTTACTCGATTAGAAACGGTTTCTCAGTATATTGAATGCCTATGGGTCGAGTTAACCAGTGGCGTTTCTCCGACAGTGGTGGGAGTATTGTACCGTCCCAATGCTTCTATTTTGCAGTTTCTTACGAACTTGGAAGACCTACTTTCCACTCTGATCCCAACATCTGAAAGATTTGTGTGCCTTGGTGATTTCAACATTAATGGATTCGATTTTAGTGGTATTTATGGGAACAAATTTCTTCCTCTAATTGAACAGTTTAGTCTAAAGCAAATAATTACGTCACCTACCCGTGTAACCTCCTTTTCGGCAACATTAATTGACTTTATTCTTATAGATGATGATGCCCTTATTGAGGATCATGGTGTCATTCCTGTTCATAACGTTGCTGACCACAGCATGGTTTATGTTACCTTAGGTAATGATATTCCTCGGGGAGTTCCGCAGACATTAACTTTTATGGACTTCAGGCATTTTAACCACCAATGCTTATTGGATGACCTAAACTATCTAAACTGGCACAACTTTCTTATTTCTGATTCCATTGATGATAAGGTTGATTTTTTTAATAATTCCTTATTATCTTTATTTAGAGCTCATGCACCACTCCGAACAGTTACACTGCGAAAGAATTATCGCCCGTGGATAACTGATACTATTAAAATTCTCATTAATTTACGAAATAATGCCTATTCGAGATACAGGTCTACCAGGGATCCCTCTCATTTTAAGTCGTACAAAGACTTGAGAAACTATACTAACTCAGCAATCCGTCGGGAAAAAAAGGCTTATCTTTCTTTAATATTTCATAACAATAATTCTCGTAAACTCTGGAACAATCTCAAGTCGTTTGGAGTATGTGGTGCTAAAACGAAGTCAATTCCGTCTTCTGTGGGAAATGCTGATGATATTAATAATTTTTTTCTTTCCTCTCAAAATCAACATGATTGTGATCCCAACTTATTGCACTTCTACAATACTAATAGATTATCTTCTGTTTCTACAGAATTTTCCTTTTCTTTAGTTTCTGAGGAAGAGGTTTTGGAAGCGCTTAATCGAATTAAAACAAATGCTGTTGGTAGTGATGGAGTTACGAAGCAGATGCTTTTATTAAGTTCTCCGGTGACACTGCCGTACATGTGCCACATTATCAACTTTTGCATCGAGGGGTCGGTCTATCCGAGGCAGTGGAGGGGTGCTCTTGTTAAACCTGTACCTAAAACTGGAACGGTTGCTTGTTTGCAGGATCTTAGGCCTATAAGTATTTTGCCGGTCTTTTCTAAAGTATTTGAAAGATTATTGTCCACTAGGTTGTGGTCACATTTAAATGCGCATTGTATACTACCTAGCTTGCAGTCGGGTTTCCGTTCTGGGTATAGCTGCACTACGACTCTTTTGGATATCACGGATGATGTTCTACGTGGTATCGATGACGGGTTGGCCACGGCTCTGGTCTTGCTTGACTTTTCCAAAGCTTTTGATACTTTGCATCATTCGCTGCTGGTTGAAGTGCTAGGGTATATTGGACTGTCGGGGTCTGCTCTCAATCTTATTCAGAATTATCTTTGTTACCGTTCACAGCGAGTAGCTTGTAATGGTGAGTTATCTGCACAAGTTGAGGTCGTGTCGGGTGTACCGCAGGGTTCTATTCTTGGCCCAATTCTGTTTTCAATTTATACTTCCCAACTGTGTTTGGCTGTAAAGCACTGTACTGCGCACATGTATGCTGATGATATTCAATTATACTACACTTTTTCAACATCAAATCTAGCTGTGGCTGAAAGTAATATTAATGTTGACTTGAAGGCCTTGGTCAATACTGCTAATGAGCACAGCTTAAGGATAAATCCATCTAAGTCATCGGTGATGGTCTTTGGGAGCCGGGGTGTTTTGGACGAAGTCAGGGATGGGTTGAGCTTGAAAATTGACTCTGATGTTTTGCAGGTTGCTGAAAGTGCAAGGAATTTGGGTATCATTATTGACAGTAAACTTAGATTTGACTCGTACATTGGTAGTCTACTGCGTCGTGCATATGCAGCGTTAAAATTGCTCTATAATAGTAGGCATTTATTGGAACAGCAACTGCGGATACGCTTGTGTGACGCCCTGGTTCTCTCGATCTTTAATTACGGTGATGTATTATATGGCCCTTGTATTGATAATATTCACAAGGTAAGAATTCAAAGAGTTCAGAATGCGTGCTTACGTTTTATTTATGGCATTAGGAAATATGCGAGTATCTCATACACCTTAAAATGGGTGGGCTGGTTGAATATGTCACGTCGTAGGGCCCTTCACTCTGCTTGCCTCTACCATAAGGTTTTGACTACCAAATGTCCACCATATTTATACAACAAAATTCAATTTCGAACAGACGTTCATAATATTAATATTAGGCACAGACATACGTTAACAATACCCCAGCATCGACTGGAAATTTTTAAAAGATCTTTCACGTATTGTGTGCCTAATTTGTTGAATAACTGTCCACTTTCGGTCTTGCAGGAAACTGAGCGGGTTTTCAGGGTGATATATAGGTCTGAGTTATTGAATGAGCAGAATTGTGATGACATATGAATCAATTTTCTTTTTTTTTTTGTTGTTTTTTTCTCTTTTTTCTTTCTTTTATTGTTTTTTCGTGTTTCTTCTCCTTTCCTTGTCTTAGCTCTTCTTATTTACTAGAAAGCTAGTCTTACTATTATGTATAATTGGTATTAATTTTAAGTTTTTGGTAACAACTAGTCTTTCTATTTCCGTTTGCCGTCATGAAGTTTAAGTTTATTTATACAAAATGTAGAAAAAGGACCAATGAAAAACAGCTGACCCACTGGGAATGCTGACGTGGTCCTTTTTAACTCATGGCATTTCATTTTGGTTTTATTTTAGTTTTTAAGTATTTTGTTATTGGGGTTTATAATGGTGCTATGGGTTAATAAACATTATTATTATTATTATTATTATATATAATACAAATTATATAATTGATTGTATAATAGAATTGTTCATTTCTTGATAATAATTTTTGTGAAATAGGCATCTGGTTTGGCATTTTAACACGTCATTGAATTTCTTTTTTATTACTGTGTGTTGGATAGGTATTTTTTAACTAAAAAAATACTTCGGACTTCTTTGGGAAGAAGGTTACAATATGATATCTGAATTGTGACTCGTTTTTAAAGACGCACGGTTAAGCCCGAAATCTTCTAATTCTAGATCTATTAATAGAGTTAGTATTAATATTAATTCATAAAAAATAGTTATTCTGAAAAATTGTAAACGATTGATAGTTTCAAAACTAACTTTCAGTATTCACTGTCGAATATCCGTAATATATTGAGCCATTTTATTGAAAATGTGCTAATATGCGCAATTTATTTTTTTGGGAACAGAAAGTAAAGGCTTTAAACTACATAAAAAAACAAATTTCAACCTGGGATCTTCTGGGACTTTTTTTGTAGCTTAAATTAAAGTTTAACATTGCAAATATAATCAGTTTATGAACAGTGTTGAGAAAAAGATAAATAAATCCAGCATTCAAGAAGCTATTACAGTGTTTATGTTAGTATAAAATTATAGTGAAATTTCATAAGGGTACAACTTTTAATATGTTTACAATAGTTTCTCAATATTAATCAAATGTTTTTGAAAATTGATATGCAAAATAAGTCTTAACTTTATATGTCATTTTTATCCACATTTGAAGTTAATAAAAAGTAGTTATTGCGGAGTAGCGAGGATATAACCTAGCGATCCCCATTTGCCAACATATTAAAAAAGAAAATTAGTAACATCATGTTATGGCCGGTAATTTCAAACTTGCTAACACTGTGCACCGGAGCAAAAGAAAATGAACCTCAGTCTTTATTCCTCAGATAAGTCAATGCTGGTGTGTGACTCACTAAATTACGTGTAATACTACTGTGACACCACAGTCGGATCATCAACAACGACCTCATTCAATTTAATTGACAAGTTATTTGATTTTTTGTGCTATACAATGAGTCATTAATGATATCCCAAGTTGCCTTAATTTTATTTTCAGAGGAATCAATGATCCGAATGCGGTGCAGACGCTTAGCCAATAAAATAACTCTTCTCAGAATTTTACAATACTCCCTTACGAACTGGTGAAAGCCAACATCGCCACCTCGCTGTACACGATGCAGTAGAGATCTTTTGTTTTTGCATGATATACGAATACCTGTGGTAATCCATCCCGCAGAAGCAGTGGATCCACGAATGGCCACCTTGCGCAGAGGAAAGGATTTGATATTTCAAGAACTATTATCAAAGGGTATCTTTTTGTGAAAAATACTTCAACAAATTCAAAATCACCATTAAATTTTCTGTAAATACGTTAGCATAGAAGTTCCCTCCTAGTTGACAATCTGATTGCGATAGTCGAAGCCGTTGGTGTGGAAATACAAGCTTATGCTGATGACATTGTCGTTATGGTCAAAGGAACCTGTTTGCCGAGGATATCTAAAGTCCTCCAGGTGACCCTAGATACCATTTGCGCTTGGTGTAAGGGAGAGAACCTCTCAATAAACCCGCAAAAGACAATTGTTGTGCCCTTCACCAGGAAGCGAAAGTTGGATGGACTAATCCGCCCAACTATCCAAGGTGAAGAAATTCCTTTCTCAAAGGAAGTCAAATATCTAGGAGTAATCCTAGACAAAACCCTGTCATGGAATGGACATTTGCAGGGAGTTTTGCACAAAGCTAGACTATCCTTGTGGACTTGTCGCAGTCTTTGTGGAAAAAATTGGGGTCTTACCCCTGAAAGACTGTACTGGCTCTATGTGACTGTGGTTAGACCTATGATCACATACGGAGCAGCAGCCTGGTATAGGAAAGTCCGACAGACTTCAGTTATCAGTAAACTTTCACGAATTCAACGAGTAGCTGGATTGGCAATCTCTGGTGCGATAGGCACAACGCCAACTCTAGCAATGGAGGTTCTGCTTGGCCTATCTCCTCTGCATTTGCATATAGAGAAAGTGGCTAGAACAACCATTTACAGATTTAAGCAATATGCTCAAAACTGTTCCGACATGTCCTACCAATGGGCTGCGGAAGACATTATAAGCACTGATACTGTGCTATCAATGCCGTCAGATTTGGAGGTATCACTATCAGTGATTAATGCTCGATACCAGATTGTACTGGCTGAGCGGCAGTCCTGGATCGAAAATGAAAATTCTCTGGTTCAGGCAGACATTTGCTTGTACACAGATGGATCAAAAACGCCGGAAGGGGTCGGAGCAGGAGTATACTTCCAGACACCTCGAATTAAGCAAGCTTACAGCCTGGGTATGTACTGTACTGTATTCCAGGCGGAAGTATTTGCTATTGACATGCGTGCTAAAATCCGTCTTGAAGGAGGGGTGAAGAACATGCCAGTACGAATTTTCTCAGACAAGCCATGAAAACGGTGTCGGCTCTGGTTAATGATTGTAAGATTGTAAGAGAACATTAAACACACTGAGTTGTGATAACAGAGTCTCTCTGATCTGGGTCCCGGGTCACTCTGGGGTTGCTGGCAATGAAGCGGCAGATAAGCTAGCACGAGATGGCAGCGCTGAAGCGTTTGTGGGACCGGAACCAGCAGTTGGTGTATCATTTGCGATGGCCAAATATAGGATTGGATTGTGGGCTGAAGAGAGACTTCGCCTACTGTGGACCAGTTCTCCTGGAATGAGACATGCTAAGGTGTTTATTAACATCGCCACTGTCAAACCCGGGAATATTTTAGGACTTGCCCGTAGAAGCATAAAAGTTCTAATGGGTGTTTTTACTGGGCACTGCCGATTAAAAGTACACCTCAACTTGTTGGGTTTAGCCGACGATGTTGAATGCCGACTATGTGCGGAGGAAGCAGAGACATGTTTTATGCCACTGCCCTGCCGTTAACCGTATCAGATTCTCGATTTTTGGGTCGCAGTTTATCTTCTCAAGGAATCTGAATGACCTTTCGCCGAGCAATTTTCTGTAAATACGTTAGCATAGAAGTTACAAGATAAAGAACTAAGTTAACGCCATTTTTACGATTTTTTCGTTTTTGTAGCAGAAAATGTTCCTTATGTCCCGAACGGTTCATTTTATAATTTATATCAAAAAGTACGTTTTCGCAAAGAAAGCTTGAAGGAACTTAGAAGTATCATTAAATTTCGAATAAGTACACTAGTACAGAAGTTACATGGTAATGAGTCAAATCTCTGCAGAAAATCTTTGATATCTCAAGAACGATTGCTATTAGAACTATTATCAAAGAGTATCTTTTTGTGAAAAATACTTCAACAAATTCAAAATCATCATTAAATTTTCTGTAAATACTTTAGCATAGAAGTTACAAGAGAAAGAAGTAAGTTTACCAAATTTTATCTTTCTTAGACAAACCATATTGAATATTTAAGAAAATGTTTAAAAACTCTTAGGTAAGAGAGCCCATATCTTGGCCATTTATTTAAAAGTTTTTACATGAAATCTAGTATTTGTGATTAAAATTATGCCACGACTTACAGGAACACTGTACTTGTTTAGTAGAAAATTTTTTAAGTAATTGAAGTGTTAAAAGTGTGCTTTTTATGCTTCCATTTGTAAGCATTGTTGTGTTTTTTTATTTAAATTATAAGTCTTGGCTTTGTTTGTATTGATTGAATAGTTTTACCCTGAAGAAGGAATAAATTTTGTTCTTGCTTGGTTAAAAGAACAATTACAACTTATATTTTAATTCCCTTGCACAAAGGGTCGCTTTCCAAGAATATCTCCATTTCCTATATTGTAACGACCGAAATTCCTTTCCATATATAAAGATATTCCACCGGGCGTACAACCGGAATTGTTTTGGATGTCGGAGACACTGTTAGTCATGTTTTACCAATTTGTAAAGGTTTTGCAATGCCATTTGGTGTAAAACGCATGGACATTGGTGGAAGAGACATCACAAAATACCTCAAATTATTATTAAAAAAAGAAGGGGTTAATTTCACGACTTCAAGTGAATTAGAAATAATTAAAAACATAAAAGAAACAATTTGTTATATTTCCGAGAATCCGATAAACGAAGAAGAAGTCATTAAATTAGACCGTGTGATTTACAAATTACCCGACGGGAAAAATATATCCGTTGGAACATCAAGAATTCGAGCTCCTGAAACTTTATTTACACCTTCTTTAATTGGCGTTGAGTATTCAGGAATCCACGAAATGTTGAATGAAAGTATTCAAAATTGTGATTTGGATTTGCGAAGGATTTTAACTCAAAATATCGTTATTTCCGGAGGATCAACTTTGTTTAAAGGGTTCGGAAAACGTTTGTTTATTGAAATGAAAAATTTATGCCCGCAAGATGTTCAAATTAAAATAAATTCACCGAAAGAAAGGTTGTATTCGGCGTGGATTGGCGGGTCTATTTTGGCTTCAATGTCTACGTTTAAAGATTTATGCGTTACGAGGGAAGAATACGAGGAGAATGGGAAATATTTTTTTAATAAAAAGCATTCTGCAGCTTTGCTAGATCAGTATTATAATAATATTAAAGCTTGAATTAACTTATTTTTTTTTATAAGCTGAATTTAAAATAAATTATTTGAAATTTATACCGTGTTAATCATTAATTCAAGTTAAATTAAATTTTTTATAATGTAAGGTTATTTCGTGACAATCGCGACATAGGAAATTGTTGATTCGAGGCCATTCTGAGGCGTTCCCAAGGAGTAAGTGGGTCGTTCGACAATGCGAGGCAATAACACTATCGTCGTCCTAAGAAGTGTAAAGGAAAGAAGAGAGATACTCGATGAGTTGCCTCGGGCGAGCAGCTCTCGTACCATGGTAGATCCAATTATATGCATTGAAAACAAATCGTGTCGGCTGCATTGCGGTATTTAGGTATTTAGCAACTTAAACTAGAATTCCACATTTATAATAATAAAACGATTCTCCGCCTTTAAGTGGCAATATAAAGAGTTTCTATTGAAAACTTCTTCTTTGCCTCTATCTTATCTAAGTGAAGAGAATTCTTCGTAAAGTGAATTTGAAGAGATAACCTTTTACTCCTTTTTTCTGTTTGAACGTTATAAAAACCACGATTTATTTATTAATTCTTTTTGGGTGAATTAAGAATTCGGACATCCTGTCACATTTCAGTACTTTTACCACACGGGTAATTATGACTCTATTTCCTCCTAAATTGCCTTCTATACGGTTCTTGATTTACTGTTGTTTTCCTAGCCGCGGTGCGTTTCTTACGGTCTCGTATAACAATCATCGATTATATCTGTTACAGTTAGCTTTCTCAACGTACCGCAGTGAGAAGTCGGCTCACATTTTACGTTTAAAAAAATTTTAGGAATCCTAACGCACAAAATTCAACTTCACAAACATAAACAACGTGCAAACTACTTAATTAGGAGTTTTTTATAAGCAGTAATTAAGATGGCTTCATTTAATTAGGATTACATTCTTTGACATTAGCCAGGAGTAGTTTAATTTAGTAAGATTAAGTTAGGTGTTGGCTTGAAAATAGCGAAAGCTGGTTTGTATGTGACAGGTTCGCATTTAAATCATATAAAATTACTGGTTGGACGTGGACAGAGCGCCCCAAGATTCTTCATTAAGCAGGCATGCGTTTCAATCTGGGAGCGCGTATATAGCGGTATATTACACGTTGGAACATTTGCCGGACTTTATACTGTAAGGTATTTTACCTTACGGTTGTTCCACCGCAATTAGTTGCATGCTCTTTCGTTTTCTCTTCTAATCGTTTCACTCTAACATTTTAATAACGAAAGACACCTTAATCAACTTTTTATAAACTTCAATTTAATTTGAACTACTTTAACTTCAAATACTTAAGAGTAAGTAATTATTATAAAAATAAAATTTCATGTTAATTATAATCTTAAATTCTTATTTTTTTTTTATTTACTTTATATCTTGGCGCTGTATCATCTCTTCAGAATGTAACTGTAAATTTTTGGAGTGCTAAATGCGAAGGAACAGATCATACTTCAAAGAATTTGTGAAGGAGGATTTCAACCTCGATTTTAACCGAGAAGTGGGAGTTGAAATTTTTAGAAATCGAGAAATAACAATCAACTCATTTAATATTAATAAAATTTGCTTTAAAACAGTTTTTATTTCATAATGATATCTCATTTCGTTCTTGAGATACAAAGCTTTAAATTGTATCACCTCAATACTCACAGAGTTGGATTAAAAAAAATCTTATCATTGAGATTTATAGGAACGAAAGAATTATTTTTGGTGTGTTGAAAATAGATTTAATTTACTATAAAACGGTTTTTAAATCATCGTGATATCTCAATTACTTTTTGAGATATGATTTTTTTAAAATATGTGTTTAGGTACACTTCATTTCTTATAAGTAGATATACCGAGATTATTTAAAAAATTCGTTGCATCAAAATTTGTAGAAATAAATAAATAATTTTTCAATTCACTTAATATCAATAAAATTTGCTTTAAAACGGTTTTTATTTCATAATGATATCTCATTTCGTTCTTGAGATACAAAGCTTTGAATTGTATCACCTCAATACCCACAAAGTTGGATTAAAAAAATCTTATCATTGTGATTTATAGGAACGAAAGAATTATTTTTGGTGTGTTGAAAATAGATTAAATTTACTATAAAACGGCTTTTAAATCATCGCGATATCTTAATTACTTTTTGAGATATGATTTTTTCAAAATAGGTTTTTAGATATACTTCATTTCTTATAAGTAGATATACCGAGATTATTTAAAAAATTCGTTTCATTAAAATTTGTAGAAATAAATAAAAAAATTTCAATTCACTTAATATCAATAAAATTTGTTTTAAAATGGTTTTTATTTCATAATGATATCTCATTTCGTTCTTGAGATACAAAGCTTTAAATTGTATCACCTCAATACTCACAGAGTTGGATTAAAAAAATCTTATCATTGAGATTTATAAGAACGAAAGAATTATTTTAGGTGTGTTGAAAATAGATTAAATTTACTATAAAACGGCTTTTAAATCATCGTGATATCTTAATTGCTTTTTGAGATATGATTTTTTCAAAATAGGTGTTTAGAAACACTTCACTTCTTATAAATAGATGTACCGAGATTACTTAACAAATTGGTTGCATCAAAATTGGTAGAAATAAATAAATAATTTTCAATTCACTTAATATCAATAAAATTTGCTTTAAAACGTTTTTTATTTCATAATGATATCTCATTTCGTTCTTGAGATACAAAGCTTTGAATTGTATCACCTCAATACCCACAGAGTTGGATTAAAAAAATCTTATCATTGAGATTTATATGAACGAAAGAATTATTTTTGGTGTGTTGAAAATAGATTAAATTTACTATAAAACGGCTTTTAAATCATCGTGATATCTCAATTACTTTTTGAGATATGATTTTTCAAAATAGATGTTTAGATATACTTCATTTCTTATATGTAGATATAACGAGATTTTTTAAAAAAATCGTTGCATCAAAATTTGTAAAAATAAATAAATAATTTTCAATTCACTTAATATCAATAGAATTTGCTTTAAAACGGTTTTTATTCCATAATGATATCTCATTTCGTTCTTGAGATACAAAGCTTTGAATTGTATCACCTCAATACTCACAGAGTTGGATTAAAAAAATCTTATCATTGAGATTTATATGAACGAAAGAATAATTTTTGGTGTGTTGAAAATAGATTAAATTTACTATAAAACGGTTTTTAAATCATCGTGATATCTCAATTACTTTTTGAGATATGATTTTTTCAAAATAGGTGTTTAGATACACTTAATTTGTTATAAGTAGATATACCGAGTTATTTAAAAAATTCGTTGCATCGAAATTTGTAGAAATAAATAAATGATTTTCAATTTACTTAATATCAATAAAATTTACTTTAAAACGGTTTTTATTTCATAATGATATCTCATTTCGTTCTTGAGATACAAAGCTTTGAATTGTATCACCTCAATACCCACAGAGTTGGATTAAAAAAATCTTATCGCCGAGATTTATATGGACGAAAGAATTATTTTTGGTGTGTTAAAAATAGATTAAATTTACTATAAAATGGCTTTTAAATCATCGTGATATCTCAATTACTTTTTGAGATATGATTTTTTCAAAATAGGTGTTTAGATATACTTCATTCCTTATATGTAGATATTCCAAGATTATTTAAAAAATTCGTTGCATCAAAACATGTAGAAATAAATAAATAATTTTCAATTCACTTAATATCAATAAAATTTTCTTTAAAACGGCTTTTATTTTATAATGATATCTTATTTCCTTCTTGAGATACAAAGCTTTAAATTGTATTACCTCAATACCCACGGAGTTAGATTAAAAAAATCTTATCATTGAGATTTATAGGAACGAAAGAATTATTTTTGGTGTGTTGAAAATAGATTAAATTTACTATAAAACGGTTTTTAAATCATCGTGATATCTCAAGTACTTTTTGAGATATAATTTTTTCAAAATGGGTGTTTAAGTACACGTCATTTCTTATAAGTAGATATACCGAGATTATTTAAAAAATTCGTTGCATGAAAATTGGTAGAAATAAATAAATAATTTTCAATTCACTTAATATCAATAAAATTTGCTTTAAAACGGTTTTTATTTCATAATGATATCTCATTTCGTTCTTGAGATACAAAGCTTTAAATTGTATCACCTCAATACCCACAGAGTTGGATTAAAAAATCTTATCATTGAGATTTATATGAACGAAAGAATTATTTTTGGTGTGTTGAAAATAGATTAAATTTACTATATATTTATTATATATTTCGACGTTTATTAACGTATGAGGTTCTTGTGACACACTTTCTAATTGTTGCGGTGCATTAGATAAATTAGATCATAATTTTCCAATACCAGTTACTATTATGTTTAGAAACGTCGTAGTCTTCTGCGAATTAAAACTAATATTTGTAATTTATTCGAGATTTAGAACAAAGAAAATTAAGGAAATATATTAAAACCTTTTTATGGTAAATTTTAAAACGCTGATAATCTAGTATCAGAAGACTAACATTAATCTTCCGGTCGCTAGATTGGTATTAGGATGAAACATACTTAGGTACTTTCAGCATGTAGCTATTACCAACAGTATCTCAGTGTGAGATCTTGAACGGAGGCGTTATTACAAAAAAAAGCTACGTTATGGCGGAGTATTTGTTATCGTTGGCTTTATTCGAGATGATTTACGACGTGATCCATAAGAATAACAGTGTTAACACTTGTATACGATCATACTTCCAAGCACGCAACTTTAAAACTTAATTTTTTTTCGTTTCAAGAATAAAATTGTCCGGCTCATTAAGGGAGTTTATTACAGTCTCATTTCCAACTTGTTCATGCTCGACTTCTCGACGATGACTTTTGTCTTCTTTTTTTCGGCTAAGAGACCGTCAACTTAATAGGTTTTACCGTTTGTAGGGCAGCGCTCGTTGAAGATTTTTCGACGTTTTGCTGTCAGTGGCCTCAAACGAAAGCCCAAGTGGTCATAGCGGAAGGTCGTTACACCGTCTTCGCTAACATTTACCAAGAAGTGGCTCGTTTCGCAACAAAA